GACGGTGGTAATTGGGAGGAGATGCGACTGGCGTCAAGCTCAGCGTCAAAATGGTACTCCGGGCCGTGTTTTTACACTGTGCAATACAATCTTGCTAAATCATGGGGTACCTCCTTAGTCAGGAACGAAGTTGTCGAATCGGTCTCCTCTTCCATGACATGGCCAGGGTCCTCCATTCTCTCGGTTCCCCCAGTACTCTTTCGTCGTAGCTCCAGACCCTGGCTTGATTGTTCCAGCAATTGCCATCCTGCCTGTTTGATATCCAGTTGCAACCTGATGTTTGACTTGTTTCTTGTCCCTGCTTTGCTTCTGAGACAGTTAGACTCTTCATCGTAGGGTCTATTGGGGGGGGATTTGTTGTAGACATGACCCCAGTTGCATCGGACATCCTATTTCTTGACCTGTGTAATCTCTTGTAGACTTCTGATGCTTATAGAAGCTCCTCCGATAGAAGTTGATGGCCCTTAGAACAAGAAGGTCTTCATATCCCACACGCTCGGTGTCTCATCTTGTTGTGGCATAACAACGCAATATCAGAACGCAGCAAGATAATGCGTCAATAAGACCAATGACATCTTTAGGAGCACCTGATTCCTCGACTTAGAAGTCATTCCATGAAGGAGTACATAGCTCGATCTCAGTATCCGATACTTGTTGATAAATATCTTGTCAGATTGTGCTAGGGGCAGCTCAGGCTCTCTGATCACTTCACGCTTTGTCGAAGAATCTCAAGTTGTTGGCGTGGATTCCAGAGCTATAAATAGCCCACGCATGTTACGAGTGAATTCATCACTGCATGTGAAACTACACTGAAGCCTTCCCGCCCTTCTTTTTTGTTTCCGTGTATTGGCAATGATTCTTGTGACAGCTGTCACTTGGCAAAATGAAGTGGTCCTTGCCTATATGACAAGGAGACCTGATCTCGAACTATGCGCGATCCAGAATTAGCGACTGACGATTGATTGATGGGCTCAGTCGTAGCCATGTTGTTCCAAAATGGTGGGTTTCCGTACCGGCTGGCTACCGAGCTTGGGTTTAGTTGCCAAAGCACAAATCGTCATCAAGGATATGCTTCTAGCTTCAAGCTCTCGCAGGTTTCTTGCTCACGTGCGGAAAGTGCATAGAAGTTCAGAAACGAATGAAGACAAGAACGGATATCGCTGGAGTAGCCTCAATGAACCAGAACAGTTTATTGTCCTGTAAGATGGAAGTTCCTCAACCCAAGGACACTGCCGCTTCCCAAGCTCAAATTCATGCCGCCCCGCTATGATATCGGATACCAATCCCAAGGACGCGGAACCGCTGGGGCATCTGGGCTGACCAGTATCTTGGTTGAGCCTTGGGCCATCTGCGGCAATGGTGTACACATAAGGTATGGATTGGAGTCGCTCTGGTGAGTAACGAGGACAGGATCTCTTGCTTGCCTTTGGGAATCCCAGTCTTGTGTTCGTTTGCGAAATTATCAAGAAAAAATTGAGCACAAAGGTAATAAAATTGTTTCACATTCAGCTGTTGCTAAATGAGACGTCGTAAAGTGCTTGAATCCGTCTTTAGGGAACCCATGTGTCACGAAAAGCCCTATCCATGCGGGCTGTACTTAATGCAACGGAAGTATTGCCGGACTCGCCTAACACTGGGCCAACGTCTCTAAGATTGGCAGGTCGATGTTATATCACCACAATTCGCCGAGAAGCTGTGTAAAGTATCGTCAGACTCTTTATCAACAACTAACAATGAAGACCGCAACCTTTACAGCTGTGAGTAAGTAACCACGAGCATTGCGAAGCGTGTCATGTATTTCGTTGCAGCTCAGTGTCGGGGAACTTGCTTTGGACACCTGCGATGAACTTCTGGAATGTCACACCTATAATTCTTGCGGCGATTTGTTTGAAGTCAAAGTGGGCCGATGAGGCTTCGTAGAAAGCTTCCAGAAGCCTGTCAACCAACGGAACTCCACAACACAAAGCTCTATGCACGATTCTTTCCCACGGTGTCAGCGGCGACATGCGGTAATAGAACACTGTGCGGGCGACTTAAGGCGTGTCATCTCTTGTAATATCCCCCATCAGTACGGAGTAGACTCCTTCTCGACCCAGCTCCACCCGACCGGGCAATTTTGTAAACCCCCTCCAGTGGAGAGGTTGGTGGATTGGGATGAACTGCCAGCTCCCGTGCTGCAAGTTCAGGGGTATCGCTGCACACATCCGAGTTAGCGTGGCCAGCTACACGTTGTGGCGGTTTGCACATGGCGGTAGCGCCGCATAGAAACCCCAGAACTTCGGTGTTCCTGCATTAGCCAAATTCCAAACGCCATTGGCATTTGAAACAGGGGTCGTTTACTCTTGTCCCAGCCTTCATCAACCACTAAAAAGCATCCCTATAGCGCATTGCCATGGACGATGACCTTTCCCAACAACAGATCGTCCTAGTCGATCGGTTTAGGGAGGTACTCTCAAGCCATCCAAGGTATACTGGATGAATTTGTGGTGCACTTGCATCATGTGACAATTCCAGCCTGCAACTGTCGGCTGAGAGGACGGGACTGACCAACACTGACAAGCCCTCCACTCACCCACCATGTGGCAGCTAGCTTAGCTTCCGGCCATTTCAATGCCTCCCTCTTAGATATCTTTGGGAACGAACACATATGTATCATGCGACGTAGGTAACCCGCCTGGTTTGAGATGAGACCTGTTTCCGGTCCTTTTTTGGATCCGCTCCAGATTCGTTAAAGCAAACCTGGTTCAGGAGCTTGTTTGCCATACCACTTTATACAATTGACGATGACGCGAGACCACCACACATGTGCGAACATGACTGTCGTGGCTCACGATGATGCCGTAATCGTATGCCCAGACCAACCCGATACCACAAGTAATGGTGCTATCGATTCACCCCATCGCACTATCACAACTGACCTTGTCGAGCACGGCAGCTGCTTGTAGATCGGGCTGCCATGTCCAAGCCAGTGACATTTGGTTCGAGACTATTGCAGCTAGTCAAGGAGGAAATGTCACCAGTGCCTATGTCAGCTTGTTGCTGGGTGTTGCTGATACTTAGTACGTACCCGCCGGCGAGGAAGATGAGATTAGGACCCTTCATAGCATATGCGGTGGGGCAGTATCAAAGTCCACCTATCGGATTCAAGGGATTTTCGCTTTGGAGACCACGCTAAACGAGATGATCGCTTCTTGCCTTCCAGAAGCCTCAACGAACAGTGTTGCAGATCAGAATTGGACTCTTGCTTGGGAAGACACCCCGACAAGAGCCTGCGTTGAACGTCATATTTGGCGGAGGTTTTCAGGGTAAAGCTGTGGGTGTTTACTTCCTTGATCAACCGCACCAATACTGAGTACCCTACCCAAATATGCACCAACACTCTGCCGATGTGTCCCGCCTTGGTGGCTGTCCCCTTTCAACCTCTCTGTTGTCAGTTCAGACCTCTCTGCTTGGTTGAATCGTGTTCGTTGAGACGATAGTATTCGTGTCACCGGGGAACCGCTTCCGCAAATGTAGTGCGTCCGTGCCGGATCCGCCAGGTAATTTCAAAAAATTTGTCCCAAACGTCCATGGTTCCTGGACTGTTTGTGTGGAGACATAATAAGAGGCCTCTCTTGACTAGACAAGGTAGGCAAGCTTCTGGAAGGCTGATCTATGAAGCCAACGAGGAGCTTTTGTTGTGGTGTGTGTGTCGTTCGTGCCGGGTATGCTCCCCGAACGATAGACCAAGCAAGCCACGAGTCAAGCTTCTGATGGGATGGATGCACAGATCTATTGCCTTCCGCCCGCCGCGCTCCCCAATGTTGATCCTTATCAAGATAGTAACTATCGTGCTCAACCGCACCAACTCTTGCGTACAGGCCTGAAAGGGTCCCTCATCAGTTTCCTCATTTCAGCCATGAGTCGTAACAGTCTGGTCATTGACTGCAAAGAGCCAGAGCCTCAATAAACTGACTCGAACAGGCTGACCCCTAATACTCTATCATGGCGACTTCTCAGTCCGGAGAAGCATGTTGCGTGCCGCGACGCATCCGGTTATTCCAGCCGCTCAATCAAGTGATGGCATGCCGGGTAAGTGTCCGTGGTAGCTTCGGGAACGTAGAGCCAACTATTATAGATAGTAGCCTTTTCTCTTTCATCTGAAGGAGCAGAATAGATAAGGTAGTGTATTAGTAGCTTGGTGTTTACAACACATTGGAATTTGCCTGCAGCGTAGTGGGAAGGTGTACTTGGTTTTCATAAGCAGTGACAGAAAGGAAGGTGCTCATGGGGCAGTGTCCAAACTCGCTGTTTAGGGTAGGTAGCTTAAAATTCACCTCATTATTTTTTACCATTCTTTCTACTACGTTGGATTTGATAATCGTTTGCTCCACGTGCCATCAACTCGATTGGCTCGAAACTTCGAGTCTTCCATACAGAACTTAGCTATTTATTCACGACGTATAAGTCCTGTTTATTCTGGTCTATTGCATGGTTCAGAAGAATGCGTTAATCTGGACATGCCAAGACAGTTGCGCGTGTAATAAAACTACCTGATGTGCAACTCAGTAAGCCTTTTCCAAGGACGCAATTATCTCAAAATTACCTGTCACTACATAGCGAAGATGCAAAGAGTGTTGCATGACAGTGTGAAACCAAAGACATCAGTGTTAATAGAGAATTTCATAAATAGTATAATACATACCTACCTTGAGCCGTTTGGGAGCCAGCGAAAGTCCACTATATTCCCAGGTACCTTGGATGTTGGCCGCTATAACAGGGCCGCACCGCTGAAGCTCAGGTCCTCTCCTACGTATCACTCATTGACGAGCTCCAAATCAGGCAAGCTACTATTCCACAAGCCACAACTTCAGCCTCACCTCCACCCCGCCATCGCTGACGCAGCTTGAACGTCCACCCAAGCCGACACCGATATAGTTTCCAGCTAATACAGGAATACTCCCCATACCTCGAGTCGCACGCAAATCACCTGATACCAATTGATAATACCGATTACCAAGATGTCAATTATCCAGCAGCATACGAGCGCGACGCTCGGTGACGCATGGCGCACCATCAACATCGACGCCCTGAATGAAGACTCCAGCGTCAACTTCGACACCTCGACTCTGCATCCCCCACAGCCCGAGATCGACGAGGCGGAAGTGCGCCAGCTTTCTGGGCAGATCAGGCAGCTTCTGAGAGGCGGTGATGCGGAGGGAGCTTTGAGGGGCAGCTTGGAGACGCCAGTATACAACGGAACGGACGCAGCCAAGGTATGTCAACAGAGAGTGAAGATGAGGCAGCGTACATTGGCCCTGCACCTGTGGATTCTAACACGGCGTTTCTTCTTAGGACGCTCATCTGCACACTATCATTGAGGTCCTCCAGTCGATCAAGGCAAGCGACATGTCCCCCTTACTGAAGAGCATCTGTGGATCTGAGGGCGGCTCTGAGTGCCTGGATGTCCTGATGAAGTATATGTACGTTTGATGATGGAACGAGTGGATAAATGTGCAAACCTAACGATGTGATAGCTACAAAGGAATGGCTACGGTTCACCCTGGAACAGCTTCTCGATCACCAAACAAGGTTACACCTCAATCGACGGGAGGTTTCAGCCAAATCGCCGGGCGACCTGGCTCGAATGAGCCCGCCACTGCAGCTATGAGTGTGCTCCTGAGCTGGCACGAGAAGGTCGTTGAAGTCGCTGGTCTGGGATGCATCGGCCGAACAATGACCGACTGGCGGAAGGTTTAGGTGCCAGAGACATGTTCGCAATGACGAGCGGTCAAGAATACATAGAATCATGAATCCAATTCATAAGCCGCAGAGTAAACCCCCGTCCGCGGAACATAGCTCTGGTGTTACATTATTTACATTATACAAATCATCTGCCCTTTATTTTTGCTCCAAGACATCTTTCAAGTTTATGTCACCACTTCCCCTGGCCAGAGGTTGTGGCTGGTTTTCACCTTCGCGCCATCCGATCATGTATATGATTCTAAAAGTTGCGGGAATGGATCCATCTGGGTTACCGTGAAGTTCCTTATAGATGGCATCGCCAGCGAGGAGAACATCGCGGGAAATGGCACCCATCTCCCTTCCGAGGACAGCATTACCCTCGCCCATAGCCTGAAGATCCTGCATCAAAGCAAATGTGTCAGGGTAATCAACGATGATATCATCGATATCAACAGTCAACATCTTGAAGCCAGCTTTCTGAAGCAGACCACCTATATCTTTGACATCAGCCAAAGGAGACACACGAGGAGACATGCCACCTCGTCTTTCTGTCTCTGCCAGCTGCAGTGACGTTCTCAACTCGAATAGTGTGTCTCCGCCAAGCATAGCGCCGATGAAAGGAGAGTCAGGTTTGAGGACGTTGTTGATCTGAGTGAGGATACCGGGTAGATCGTTGATCCAATGGAGACTCAATGAGCTCATCACTAGGTCAAATGAAGCAGGTTCGAAGGGGATCGTTTCTTCGTCGTCCACAACCGTTCGAGTGATGTTAAGCTTATTGTTGAACTCATGATCGGCATCACGGTGAAGCAGTGAATGTGATGAATCAGCAGCAACCAATTCGTCAATACGAGTGGCCAGTGGCGGCGACTCAGGTGTGTTAGGGTCAGGATCAGGATTCTCCTGGACTAAAGCTCGTGCGATGTTGCATGAATTTGCGCCGAGATCTAACACTCGAGGAAATCTGCGTTTGATGTCCTATTGGTATGTGAGAAGCGAGTGTTGCCTCAAGAACATGGGTACTTACTAGAAGTCTTTCTGATACTCGAATTGCAACCTCATCCTTGAGGTAATCAGCTTCCCGACTTTGTTCAGAGTTGGTACCAGCTCGTTCCTTTTGTAGCCATTTTGTGTGACGATTGAAAACTTGGAAACGAGGGGCTCCAGCAGCTTGAACAGCATAAAACCGTTGATTTGAGATGTGATGATAGAGACTGGCTGGCTGTGACAAAGTCTGTCGACTACAGCGCATTGCCAATCGTGAAACCGTGCAGGGTGACATTGCGAACTATAATCAACCAAGCTATATTTGAACTTGAAAAGGAATGTGAAGTTTGTTTATGTAGAATAACGATAACCCTCGAGTATTGAAGCAATTGAAGTCATGATGAATTTGATAGCTCTATGGAAGCATTCTACTGGCTGCAGTGTTAAAGTGAACGAAGCACGGACCAATTGTAACCATGGAGCGGTTAAACCCTTTCTGGCCGTTATTGCACCCGTAGGAGGCAGGAGGCAGGAGGCTTCTCAGAGGCTAGAAGTTACTGGCCTGGGTACCATGGGATGACAGATGAACACGCTTCTCACCTCCTCTTCCACCAACTTAACTGTTAATAAAAATATCTTCCTTTCCTTCTTGAGCCCTTTTGTGTCGTTTGCTGCAGGGACTCTCTAGTACTCTCTCATCACCGACACGCTTACAATACAATCCCCTCTCGCCTGTCGTAGCCCTTGTCGATCCCCGACTCATCCGTTCCCTAGCCCACGGGCCTCTTCCGCAACTCCTAACTAAATCATTAGGCCGCACCAACAGAGCACCGCCCACCACCGCATCTCCATCCGCATCTTCAGTCTAGCTCGCCCCTCCAGCGAGCAATCTCCCATCACATCGACAAACAATCGATGTCTGGCGCGTGAGCCGTCTGGACAATTCGAGTCGACTATGCGATTCTTGCGATAAGGCGCGACCATACTCTGTCTTGGAGATATTTTGACATCACCTTCCACCGTACGAATCCATCTAAGCCGACTCCCCCCCCCCCCCGTTTCGTTCCAAAAATCAGGGGTCTTCAGCGACTTGACCGCACGAATATCTTTGCATAACACCGCCCAAAATGTCGAGCTCAGGCACAGGCTTTCTCGGCCGCTCAAGTAGCAGCAATGCCAATATGCGTGGATTGGTTCAGTTCATTGCTGATCTCAGAAATGCGAGAGCGCGTGAACTCGAGGAGAAGCGAATCAATAAGGAGCTGGCCAATATTCGACAGAAGTTCAAGGACGGCAGTCTCAGCGGTTACCACAAGAAGAAATATGTCTGCAAGCTGCTATATATTTACATCCTGGGTTGGAATGTCGATTTTGGACACCTCGAGGCTGTGAATCTAATCTCAGCAAACAAATACTCAGAGAAGCAGATAGGCTATCTGGCTATGACACTCTTCCTCCACGAGAAGCACGAGCTTTTGCACCTTGTTGTCAACAGCATCCGCAAGGACCTACTCGATCATAATGAGCTTTTCAATTGTCTTGCTCTCCATGCGATTGCCAACGTTGGAAGTCGAGAGATGGGCGAAGCCTTGAATGGAGAGGTTCATAGACTCCTGATTTCTCCGTATGCGCTTATACCCCTTTAGTGCGAAGGAACCACGCTGACCGCTGTTACGCAGTACTTCAAAATCGTTCGTCAAGAAGAAGGCCGCCCTGACGCTCCTCCGACTATACCGCAAGCACCCAGATATCATATCGCCGCAATGGGCGGAGCGCATTATCCACCTTATGGATGACTCTGACCTCGGCGTTGCACTCTCGGTCACATCGCTGGTCATGACACTAGCCCAAGATAATCTAGAGCAATATAAGGGAGCGTATGCCAAAGCAGCAGCTCGTCTGAAGCGAATTCTTATCGACGGCGAGTATACGACCGATTACCTTTACTACAAAGTCCCCTGCCCCTGGCTGCAGATCAAATTACTTCGTCTTCTGCAATACTTTCCACCTGCAGGTAAGTGTGGTAGCGCGTTTAAGCAGGAAGTAGTTACTGACACAACGCTCAGAGGACACTCATGTTCGGGAAATGATTCGCGAGTCCTTGCAAAAGATCCTGAACCTAGCCATGGAGACCAACAAGAACGTTCAACAGAACAACGCTCAAAACGCCGTGCTCTTTGAAGCCATCAACCTTATTATCCATCTAGACACTGAACATGGCCTGATGAAGCAAATTTCAACGAGACTGGGCAAATTTATCCAGAGCCGGGAGACCAACGTCAGATATCTGGGCTTGGAAGCCATGACACATCTGGCTGCACGCGCTGAAACTCTAGACCCCATCAAGCAACACCAGGAAATCATTCTTGGCTCGCTCAAAGATCGAGATATCAGTGTTCGTCGCAAGGGTCTAGACTTACTCTACAGCATGTGTGACGCCACAAATGCCCAAGTCATCGTTGGTGAGCTACTGCACTACCTACAGAATGCCGACTTTGCTATCCGAGAAGAAATGGTCCTTAAGATTGCCATTCTTACGGAAAAGTACGCCACTGATGTGCAGTGGTACGTTGATATCTCCCTCAGACTTATCGCCATGGCTGGAGATCATGTCAGCGATGAGGTGTGGCAGCGAGTTATTCAAATTGTGACGAACAACGAGGAGCTACAGGTTTATGCAGCTCAGAATGCGCTACAATATGTCAAGGGCGACCACTGCCACGAGACTCTGGTCAAGATTGGCGCCTATATATTGGGAGAGTTTGGTCATTTAGTTGCTGACCAGCCTCGTTGCAGTCCTATTGAGCAGTTTATGGCTCTTCAGGGCAAGCTGACGGCATGCTCCTCGAGTACTCGTGCTATGATTCTCTCATGCTTTGTCAAATATGTCAACTTGTTCCCGGAAATCAAGCCTCAGCTTATTCATGTGTTTGAGTTTCACAGCCACAATCTGGACTCCGAGCTTCAGCAGAGAGCGTGTGAATACTTGACCCTTGTGAATATGCCAACGGATGACCTCCTCCGAACAGTTTGCGACGAGATGCCTCCTTTCCCTGAACGACAGTCTGCACTTCTCTCAAGACTACACCAGAAACACGCTAATACGAGCGATCGACGGACCTGGGTAGTGGGAGGAAAGGACGCCAATGCAGACGCTCGGGAACTTAGCATGGGTACTGGAGCACTCAAGAGGACTTTCAGCTCGAATGTGCCACTGAACGGCAAACCGAATGGCCAGGCTGCAACTGGTACAAACGGTCATAGCAATGGAGTTGCCGATTTGGCTGGGCTCGATCTCAACGCACCTACACCATCTGAGCCAAAGATGCTCAAGGCCCCTAACTTGGCTAGTGCAGCTCATTTGTCACCCGGATGGGAGCAAGGATTCAACAGACTTCTTGTTAGATCGGACGGCGTTCTATACGAAGATGGCCAGTTACAGATCGGTGTTCGATCAGAATATCGTGGCCAGATGGCTTGCTTGATCACATATTTTAAGAACAAGACACCAGCAAACATCAGTTCCTTTACAACGACATTGGATCTGGACGAGAATGAAAAAGAGAATCTCACGTGGGACGTCAAAAACCTCCCTGATAGTACCATTGTGCAAGGTGGACAGTCCCAGCAAGTTGTTATGTTCGAGGCAAAGAAGATTTTTGAGAAGAGTCCGACCGTACGCATCAGCTACCTGGCTGGTGCACTACAGGCACTTACTCTGAAGCTCCCCGTGTCTATACACAAATTCATGGACCCGGCAGAGTTGACTGCTGAGGACTTTTTCAAGAGATGGAAGCAGATTGGTGGTGCCCCACGGGAGGCGCAGGCCATTTTCGGAGTCAGTGGTAAGGGCGACAGAGAAATCACAGAGAGCTTCGTTACAAAGACAGTGGAGGGCTTCAGATGGCGTGTGCTGGACATGGTTGACCCCAACCCCAAGAACGTTGTTGGTGCCAGCGTGCTCCACACATCTCAAGGAGGCAAGTTTGGTTGCCTTATGAGACTGGAACCAAACTATGGACAACAGGTAGGCGAAGCCATTCCGCTTCAGATGTTGCATATTCTAACTGTTCGACAGATGATTCGATTGACTGTCCGTGCCACAGATGATTCCGTGCCAGCGGTTTTGTTGAAGTATATGCAAGAACGCCTTGCTGCAGGAATCTCAACGGGACCGGATCGATTCGAGCCACCTTCACGGGAACAGATTTCGGACTCTTTCCGTAATGTGATGGTGACTTGATGGGAGAACATGATGTTTATCTTCTATATATTCGCCGGACAGGAGTTGTTATAATACCACAGAAGCATATGGGCGTTGGGGAACTAGCATGAAATCGGAGGAAGCGCTCAATTGAAGCCAATCGTTTATTGGCTGAAAAGTTGCCTGCGTCTATCCTCCTTGTATAGTCCCTCTTTACCGCACAAGGCGATGAAGCTGTGCGGAGTGATCTGATCAAGGAGGATGCAGTTATTACATACCACGATCTCTCATTGTAAATTGAATGAATATGATGCAAAGAAAACATCTAATCAGGGGTGAAGACAACGGAGCAGGTGTTAGGGCATTGGAGAATCTCATCAGCTTGAAGAATGTGGGCTTGAATTTGTGTTAACTCGGTATTTACTCCTTGATCTTTGCATCTGCCTTAGCTGGCCTCTGCCCGAAAATAGTGCTGCCTACACGAACCTCACTGCTTCCCAGGCGAATTGCACCTTCAAAATCCTCACTCATACCCATGCTCAACTCCAAGCTCTCCTTATCCAAATTCAGCTCCTTAGCCACAAGATCTAGCTGCTCCTTGAGAGTAACAAAGTCCTCATTCTCAGTCTCAGCGGTAGTGGCTTTGCTGCGAGCAATAGCCCCGATGGTCATGAGACCGAGAAAACGGAGGCTGGGGCATTTCTCAATGACTTCACGGCATAGAGCAACGGTCTCTTCGCCGGGGGCACAGCCAGACTTTGCTTCCTCTCCGGATGTGTTGACTTGCACATGGACACCAATCTTGTCAAGATCAGGCTGCGAAGAAAGAAGATTGGTGCGGGCAGTGTTGAGAAGCTGGGCCTTCTTGGAAGTATCTATGCTTGAGACACAGGAAAGATTGGGGATCTTTCCCAGAGATTTGCAATGGTCTAACATATCATATCAGTATGCATGGTTCCATGTGTGTGAGTCAGGCTTCTTACTAGACTGGAGACCACCGATAAAATGCCACTGAATAGTTTTCGGGAGCAAAGCCGCTTTTTGAGTCAACTCTTGAGAATAGTTCTCACCAAAGTGGGTGTGTGAAGTGGGAGCCTGGTGAAGTGCTAGAATGTCATTTACAGGCTTGAGCTTCGAGACAGCAACAAGTCGGACCTGATATAGATGTAAGCCAGGGTATATTCATCGGTGTTTGAATATGAATGAGACTGAGAGTGAGTGTCATGCATACATTTCGACCGTCTGCTACGGCAGCAATACGCTCTTTGACGGAATTAAGCTGAGAAACAAGAGCCTGAGCCCTTGAGGGATTGATTCTCATTTCTTCTTGAGAATCACTCATGTTATGAATCAGGTTTTGTAAGTCTGTTGCTACGAGAGTGAGTGGTGATTGTTGTAAGTGGACAAGTGATTTTGGGCGACCGGGTTATCATCGGTTAGGTCATGCATTCAGTGCCAACGACCCAAAGTGGCCACCATAGCTGTAGCTCAGTCAGAAACCATACCCCTTGGGACTTCTAGGCCAATCTTATGACGACAGATATTCATAAAATCGAGAGAGTAGAAAGAACTCTATATACATACAAGCCTTATCGGAGATGGCCACAGATCTGAAAACTGGCCGCCGAAGGGCTACCAGCAGCGCAGCTACAAGACCAGGACACACGAGACGAAAGTCAAGAGCTGTTATCCAGCCAAAGTCAACACATACATCAGATGAATTCCTACAAGACTTTCTAGACCCTACATTTGATCCCGCAACGTTCCTCAACTCAACCCTTCCTCCACTGCAGCAGCGCTCTATCCCTGGCCGAACCGGAGATGTCGCACCGCTCGCTGAGCTGTCCACACAAGCTCAGGCTCTTATTTCACAACTTAACGCCCAGACTTCACGGCTGTCAACTACTCTTACGCATCTCACTGATGACATTTTGAGAAGCGGGAGTCGCCTGGCTTATGAGGTGGAGCTACTACGAGGCGAGACGTTGAGTCTCCAGGAGACTATGAATGAGACGCTTCATGACGACATCAAGAAGTTTGTTCCCGAAGGATTGCAAGAAGCTATTGAGGCCAAGAATGCCGCTGCTAAAGAAGATCGGAGTGCGGCACCGTCGACAACTGCTGCAGCTGTTACCAACGATGGAGCCAATCCAGATGACCCTGAATTCATCAGACAGTTACAAACATTAACTCTTGTGCGAGCACGCCTTGACTCAGTTATCAAGACATTCGGAGATGCTATGGAATTCGTCTTTCCACCATCAGAGATCTCCGTCAGCTCCGGTTTCCTCTCAGTATCAGCACCCGAGCCAGGTTCAGCACAGCAAAGTTCAGAGGAAAAGGGCAAGGAAGTGCTCAAGAACATCAGAAACGAGATATCAGATCTACTGAACAAACCTGACGACCCTGTTCAAGGCATTGAGAAAGCGGCACAACGAATTGAACAACTCAAAGAGCTTAACCGTGTATGGAAGGACACAGCAGAGGAGAAGGGACGAAATAAGTTTATAGAGAGTCTTGCCAAGACGGTTGAAGACAAGCATCGGGATCTAATGAAGGAAATGGAGCTGACCAAGGAAAAGACTAAAGTAGAATCACGGTCACGGAAAGGCAGTGTCACTAGAGATGCTGCAGCGACTGTGGTAGAGGATACAAAGGCACCAGGCGGGTTTGGACTGATTAGCCAGTTGCACAAGCTTCGAGGAGGTCTGTGAACCAATGATAGAGATTCTTAAACTGAAAGCTACCTAATTAAAATCTATTGTTCCGGCTGAACGTATTAATTGTTCCTGGTGAAGGTTACCTAAGCTCTGTCGCTGACCGTGTAAGTACAGTATCTCGCACTATGACTACCTATAACAACCACCTAATCACTCCACTGACTGGGTCGCATGACAAGATCGGCTCGGGGCACTATTTTCCTATACTGCCGTTTGCAGTAGGCGGTGAGATCACTAACAAGCGCCCCGGCGAGGTCATGCCTCTCTGGGCCTCTCTCCCAGTTTGAGCCGAGACAATAGAAACACTTCCAAGCTGCTTTACTTCCACTGCCACATTGTTCTATCATTTCATTGCGTTGCACTGGCACTTACGCTGGCAATTGTTCGTTTGCCTGCTCTATTCTCCCGTTACCAACCAACAAGTACCTACCCAGCTTGTTGTGGAGTAGACATCCTCTGATTCTATTTGTCTTGGCCATCTCTTCCACTTGCACTCAGCTCTTTTATCACAAGTTGCATGGACTCTTTACTCTCCCAACCCTTACAACCTCAGCCCTGAGCATACAATCACGAAGATAGCACGGCTCTCAACCCTCTGAATTCTTTTCTTGAAGCCTACAGAAGCATTTTTGCAAGCTTCAGACACCACTTACACATAACCGCAACTATTTGCAATGGCCGCCAACGAAGCAGCGGCCCTTGCAAACATGGCCAGCCGAACCGACCGACGCTCTCCTGCTCCCGCTTCCCAGTCAAAAAGAGATCGCAAGCGACAGGCTCTTATAGAGAGACTCTCTAGCATGACCGATAAGTTCCACCGGGAAAGGGACATGACATATCGCGATCAGCTCCAGAAGATCCAGTTTGACATCAATCTCGTCCAGCGCTTCGACCCTTACGATCCAAAAGTCCTTGAGGTCATCTCTGAACTCCAGAAGGAGCACACCAACACACAGGGTCCTCCGGTCAACGCCGAAGATGCCCGAAGCTTGCTTGACATGGCTGGCATCCGATTCTCTGACTTCGTTGACGAAGTCGAGGATTTGGTAGAAATTCGTGATTTTCAGCTGGCGCAGTCAAAAGTAAAAGGCCATCCCACGCCATACGACAAAGTGTCTTGCTAACCATGTATCCAAACAGAATGAATACGACCGACGACGAGAAGAATATAGAAACACATATGATTACAAGGTTGAGACCGCCAAGCGCGAGCACCGAGCCCTTACCAGCACCCTTCGAGATCGATTGGTCAATACCCTCACCCACAAGAAGAACCGGTTGAACCGCGAGAAAGAGGTTTTGGAGATTAATGATTCCAATGCCTTGCTACTCAACCCCAACCAGTTCAGCTTGACCAATCCTGCGAGCCCTGGTGGTCCCCATGGAAAGCGAGCCACACGTCTGCGCAAGGACGCCGACGATCTGCAGATGTATTCCGATAACAAGAAGCGCAAGCGAAACGCCGGCGATGACGACGGCTCACCTGCCCCGACACGACGAGCCCTCGACAACCACAACACTACACCTCTATGGCAGTCTGAAAAGGCTCGTGCTGCTGCTAAGCAGAACGGGCCTATCTACAGCATTGATAAGCTTTTCACCGACAAGGAGCTTTCGCTTAACTACAACACTGCTGCCCTTGCTGCGCACCAGTATATTCTTCGTAATCGTGTTAGTGGCGGCGGCTCTCCCGAAGACAGCGATTCCGGCAATGGTGAAGCCAATGGCGACCAGGACGCCGATTCTCAGCCCTCTGCCCCAGCTATGGAGCGCTCCGTCTCGCACGCCACCCGCAGCACTCGTGGCGGTAATCTGCTCGACGACAAGATTTTAGGTCTTGAAGGTATCACCAATTTCGAAGTTCACAACTTGGATATTCTCCACGCCCACGAACCCCCCAAGATGCCTCCTCCGGTTCCCCAGCAATATCTCAAGCCCTACCCTCGTACAGCGGACCAGAACTTCCCGGTACCTCTGTCCAACGACGATATCACTTCTGATCTTACGATCATGGGTTTTTTCAAGCAATACGACGCAGCACACAAGCCTGGAGCTCACCTTGATCGCCCAACTGGAATGCGCCGGGTCCTCGCTGCTGTATCAATACCTTACCAGCATTCACGGTATGTCGCTTTCACTAGCGCTCCTAGAGAAGACCCGGAATATGTTCGCGATTCATTGGGCCTACCAGCTCTCAGCAGCCTTCGGGATCAACCAAGCCCAGCACATGCTGGTGCAGCTACTTCAGTAGCAGCTCTGTCCAGCGCCGCAGTGCCTATGAGTCGCCAGAGCAGTGCTGGCGGAGTTGCCATGAGCCGCCAGGGTAGCAGCAGTACGCGTGGCAAGGGACGTAAGAACTAGAGATTCTCGCGGCGCAAATGACCTCCTTTTATAGTATTGCAAGCGCGGCGCAAGGGCGTAGCATCGATTTGGCTTACGGCGGCATCTTATTCCATGGAAGTCCAAAAGACTACAGCAGCAGACGGTGTGGGGTCTGTGAACTGGGTTCACAAAGTTGGGCTGAGTTTTACTCAAGGCTTGTGAATAAAGAAACGAGCTGAATTATCAGCAATGCATTTATGTTTTCACTTTTCCTAACGGGCTGAGACTGGTTGAATAGAACTAGAAAGGTCATGCTTGTTAGATCAAATTGATTGCGACTAGATCAACATATCATGATATCATAAACTCCAATGCCATGCTCTCTTTTCCCCTTCCAAGCAACGCAGCTTCAAGGACCAAATACCAATGCGCGCACCTCGATACTCTCACGGCCCTCCGCCTCAGCACGGGTCCTAGGATCTTCAAAAGCAGTATGCGGCACACGGCCCTTGATATTAGATCCAGGCTTGAGAGACTCGCTATCGAAGCACTCCAGCAAGAGCCTCTCGCTGCCCGTCATACCACTGAGGTAATACCACTTCTGCTCAGGATTATGCTGAATCGCTGCAGTCCAACCGCGGTACCCATCTGGATATCTGTGCTCAACCGGGATGACGTCGTCATCTTGGACAGAAGCAGAGGATGCAACAGCCAGAGGAAAAGACTCGAGAGGCTTCTTGTTCAGAGGTCGCCAGACGTTGATGAGACGATAGCGACGCTTGAGAAGCTCATCTGCCTCGTCTGGGAAGTATCTGCGAACTCGCTGAGCTACAGCTGCAGCTGTTTGATCAATATGTACACGAGTCACGGGCGCACGAGTAGCATTGGGTGTTTGACGGCGAATAGTGTGATCAAAGAAGAAGACCATGTTGGAGCCAGGGACGTTGTTGAGGAGAAGCTGTTCAAGCTCTGGGTAGTAGTTCTCCCTGATAGAATCATCATCGATGAAGTCAATCTCGCTGGAGGGTGGAACGTCTTGGATGACCTGGAAAGCATCACGGTCTAGATGATACTTGGACTCATGACCACGGATGTCATGTATGACAGTTGGTTGAGGGTTGTCTGTGAAGTTGCGCTGAGGAAGACCCTTGGGGGGAGTGTCGACGTGGTTATAGGGCGTTGAATTGTCGGAGGGAGGATTGAAGAAGTTGAGAGTTGCAGTGACGTCGCCACGGGGAATAGTTGAAGAGACGGCCATTGTCAAGACTCGTAGGGCTTGATAGAACCGTCCAAGTGTATCAAATGGATCAGAATACAGAGGTGTAAGGGATATCAGAGAAACCGATGTGAGTTTGCTCAAAAGCAAGCGATAATGGCAGAGATACCAAATGTGATGATTTGAATTGATTGTTGAATCAACAGAGATGCTATGTGCAATAAGTTGTTTCCTATCCAGCTCTTTATACTTTTCATCTGCACCTATTAGAGATGTTACCATCATAACGTATGGATTTCAAATCAGAACCGAGTTCACTTCACCATCTCATACCAAAACTGGCCATGAGGCCGTATGTGCTCGAGCACGCAATTCCAAGATGCACAACCGTTGGCTGGAGCTCGGTCAATTGACATCCATGGCCACAAGGGCGTACAGTCAATTTGATTAGTAAAGGGTTTTGATTACTGTACACAGCTTGTTTGTTAGTAGACCTAGTTGAGAGAGCCAATGGGGAGTATAGAGTGAGTATATCGGGAATTATACGGATTTGTTAGAGTTGGGATAGATTGGGTTTGTACAATGGCGTCAAGAAGTATGCTAATGTTGAAAGACGAACATTTCGCTTGACGAATGATGACGGCAAAACTTGATTGTGCACGGGCGTCTTATTGTATACGAAATAGATAGATAGATAGATATAGACATAGATCTACAGTGGCAGTAAGGTAAGCAGAAACTCCTCATCCTGGGCCAATTGCTAAATTTAGCCCCTTTTGCTCCATCGCTTGGTGGCCTAACTTGCAACTTGAATCCCCCTTTCATTTCTGAAACGCGTGGAAATACTCTTCGCTAAATGGTATCTGCAAGGCTATCACACTCTTAAACTGTCTTAAACTGGAAAACCGTTGCTCTCAGGGAGATTTCCTCAGCCTTGGTCCATTTGTTCGTCCGTTGCCCCGTTGGATCAGCCAGTCCATGTCTCAAATCTCATCCTTCAGGCTCACTCTTGTCTGTCTCTGTTTACCCCCAATTCTCACATGAGACGAAACACGAAACAGCAAAATCGACTATGTAAAAAGACGTGACGTGCTAAAATAACCCACGGCCAAGGAAAAAAACCTGAAGAGATGAACTCGAAATGCCGTCACCTGCCTCTGTCAACAACGCAACCGGGCCCTCTCCTTCTCCTCCGGCTCCGAGTCCGGCCCAGACTCAGCCTCCACCTCAGCCCGGCGCATCGGGGGCCGGATCCGCTGCGCCTCCGACCACGCGCCCGGGTCTTCCGGACCGTAGCGTTTCCGAGAACACGGTAGAGGATGCTTACGTTGGCTTTATTCTCTTTTGCAATCCGGCAGTACCGCTCTCAACAGACACGACAAGTCTAAGAGAGGCATTCCGTAACCCCCCTCGCAGCGGCGGCAAGTCCTTCAGCACATTCGCCATCTATGAGCTC